CTGGAGGGGTGGGTGGCCCTGCCCCTGCCCCGACCCCCGCCTCGCCCGCTCGCTGGGGCTGCTCGCTTTCTGGCCAAACGCGGAGACTGTGCTGCGAGGTGTCAGCTGGGTTTGTAAACCGGTGAATGCTAAAATAAGCCGATGCTGGAGAAAGTACCCAGTCACCTGAGTTTGCAGCGTCGTCCTGCAGTTATTTCCTTAATGTATGCTGTCAGCTTTCGTAGTTATTTCCGCCGGTAACAGTCTCATATAATTAAAGTGTTTGTGCATGCAGAATTGGTCTTTCCATCTTGTCTGCACTGTTCAGTGTGGTCTAGCTCGTAGGTTGGATGTGTCAGGCTGGTAAGTGTTTTTTGGGCAGGTTGAATGTGCCTGTACTCTTGGCCTACGGTAAAGGTCGAAACAAACGTCCGGTTGTGGATATGGTCGCTGTGTTTGTGGGATTTCAGCATAAATAGTTATGTCATCGATTTGAGCATCTGGTAAATTGTACATGGAGAAGAAGAGCAGCTAGAGTCAGGTTGAGGGTGGATGCTGCTCTTCAGCCAACTTTGCTATCAGAGGCACTATGCAGTGTTGCTACAGCCATAGGTTATTGGCCCATCACATGTGTGCATGTGCACACACAACAGAAATGGTATTTAACACCTGTACTTTCATCTAGCAATAGCATGGAATTTTTTTTTCTATAAAAATAAATAAAAATCAAAAGACATGGACTATATCACAGTTGCATTTTCAAAACCATAGTTTTCCTGTCAGAATTCAGGAAGGTTTTTGCAGGTTCCTTTAATTCTTAAAATTCATTTGCAAGTCTGTGTTTTATTTCCATTACTCCTAATACCTGCAAATTTTAAAATGCTTTCTGTGTTAGAATCAATCCTAGAGTTGATGTAAAGGTTGAAGTGAGAGTATCTGCTCTTAGATGTGATTTTCAGGTCAGGATAGAGGTCATCATGTAGCAAAGTCTGAAGTTGCATGTTTAATGGAAGCATACTATAAATATTAGCTTTAGAGTTTGAGAGCAACTGATGTGCCAACAGGCTGTATTCAATCTAGAAAGGAGTATGTTATTCTTGTTTACAAGAATCATTGAGGTTAGAAGGGACCCGCGGAGATCTTCTAGTGCAACTCCCCATGCTCAAGCAGGGTCAGCTGGACCAGGCTGCTCAGGACTATGCCCAGTTCCATTCCCCAGAATGGAGATTCCACAATATCTCTGGGCAGCCTGTTCCACTGTTCTACCACTCTGACAGTAAAAAGGATTTTTTTTTTCCTTATATTTAAGTTAAATTTCCTGTATTACAATTTGTGCCCCTTGCCTATCATCCTGTCACTGGGCACCACTGGAAAGAGTCCTCTTTACACCTGCTGATCAGATGTTTCTAAACACTGGTAAGATCCCCCCCTTGGTCTTCTCTTCTGCAGGCCGAACAGCCCCAGCTCTCTCAGCCTTTCCTCGTATGAGAGATGCTCATATGAGATCTGAGCAGCCCTTTGCTGGCCTCGCTCCGGTAGCCCCATATCTCTCTTGTATTGGGGAGCGCAGAACTGGACCCAGTGCTCCAGGTGCGGCCTCACCAGTGCTGAGTGGAGGGGAAGGTTGACCTGCCTTGACCTGCTGGCACCGCTCTTAGATGCAGCCCAGGAGGCTGTTGGCGGCCTTTGCTGCGAGGTCACGTTGCGGGCGCGCGGTCAACTTGTTGTCCACCGGGGCCTTCTCTGCAGAGTTGCTCTCCAGCTGGTCGGTCCCCAGCCTGCTCTGGTGCATGGCTCTGTGCCTTCGGCCGGGTCATTAGCGAAGATGTCAAACGGAGCTTGCTCCAGTATTGTCCCCTGGGGGACCCCGCTAGCGGCTGGCCTCCAGCTGGGCTTTGTGGGGCTGGTGGCAACTCTCTGAGCCCAGGAGTTCAGCCAGTTTTTTAGCCCACCTCCCTGAGCGCTTATCTAGCTGGCGCTTCGTCAGCTTGTCTATGAGGATGTTGTGGGAGTCGGTGTCAAATGCAGTATTAAAGCCAAGGTAAACAGCATGCACTGAGACAGTTATCCTCTCATAGAAGGAAATCTGTTGTACTTAACTTTCATCTGAAGAAATCTCAGAATATGTGGTCATAGCTCACAGTATTTAGAGATGGAATACTGGGAGTCAGAAACAGAAGTTTTATGAGGATTTAACTGCCTTTTTCACTACAGGGTGGTGTTAAATCCATTCACAAGCCTTCTTTATTTCAGTACTGTTTTGATCACCATGTAAAACAGTAGAGGAAGAATCAGGAAAACTGCTGAAAATATCGCAAGTGGATTGCATTTAGGAAAGTCCTCTTTTTTTATTTTCTTTTTTCCTATTAATACGGTTCTTTCGTTCATGTAGGTGGGACTGTTTGTGTTTAGTTTCTAAAAGCTTGCCGCAATTTGTTATGGATCAGTGCCCAAGCTCCTTTTCAGTGTAGTACTTTTATGATAAAAGTCTCCTCTAACTTTAACTTGAGTTGAAGAAAGACTTTCATATATTTCAGCATGACCTGGATAAAATTATATTTCTTGATCTTATCCAGTTTTGGATAATGTTTTTATTCCTTGTAAAATATATTATTTCTGCTTTATGAAACATGATGTCTTGAGGAGTTCTGAAATCTGTGAATTAGAAGTGCCAAGAGTATTTCAACTTCAGAATTAAAAGCCAGCAATATATCCACCTATCAGTCACACTTTTTTTTTTAAATGAAGAAATTCTGAGTAATAATTCTGAATAATGTTCTTGAAACAAAGATAAGTACAAGTTTCTCTCTCAGTAGCCGCTCTTATTAAGACTTCCCCCAGTGTCTAACCATTTTTTCTCTGTTGACCTTCCTATCAACTAAATGCTTATTTTCCAAGGGTAGAGACTTCCATATTAGGATTCTCTTACCAGTGGATTTTCAATTGAAAAATGCAAGGTAAGATAATTTTTTACAAGTGCAGTAACAAAAGGTTTATTTTGATAAAAGTAGTGATAGATATGCTTATTAATTATATTTTTGTATCAAATATGGTAATTAATGGTTACTATTTTCAACTTAACCTTGCCACAAAATTGTGCAGCATCCTACAGCCTGAGTGTTAATAAACACTAACAATAAATATTGCCTATATCAAAATATTTTGTTGTTAATTAACTTTGAAACCTGTTGGAATTAACTGATTGTGTTTATATAGAAATCAATGTACTTGAAAACACAGAAGTGTTCTTTTAAATCATACGGTATTTATATGTCACCATTTTGGAATCAGAAAAACCAGTGCAAAATGTATATTGAAGCAATAATGTTTAAAGTTAAAAAAACACGTCAACCATAATTTTACCTTTGTTGTTAATATGTGTTAATTGGTGTTACTTATCATTTCTTCAAAAACTCTGTTCTTACTCGTGCAATTGTTTAACATTGTGCATATGTGAGTATGTGTGTGTATTGTGTATATGCACGCATATGCACAATTAGTCTTTAATATTCTGTTCTATGCTTCTACATGGGCTGGTCTATTCTAAACTGTGAACAGATGTGATATTAGATAGCTTTATTACATTTTAGGTTGGATACTTAGAACTGCATTATAGTTAACTCTGACATTTTCAAGATACCATTTTTAAATAATGGTATGTTTTATGAAGTCATTTTAACTTGCAAGAATTATGTTGTTGTTTTCAACAAAGAATAGAGGCTTTTGTAGGCAAATGTCTGCTTATTCATTTTTAATGAACTATGGATCGTGACATTTGAAGATTTTAAATAACTGAATATGAAAACTCGAATTTTAAAATACTATTGACTTCCTTTGTGTTTTGGAGGAAAAACTTTTGTATTAGTATGTATCAGACTTATTTTTTCCAAAAATGATGCAATCTTCATTTAAAATGCATGCAAAATACTTTTTGTCTAGGATAGAGTGTAGCTGGCACCTAAAGAAGATACTACATGGATATCAGCATATTTTAAAGCAGGTATACTACTTTTAAAGTTTTTTCTGTTTAAATTTAGAGTTACAATAATTCTGAAAAGGTTGGATGCATGAGTACAATCTAAAAAAAGAATTCTTCTTTCATTATATAACCGAGAGTTATTATTTTGAAATGTCTGAAGATTTGCAGGCCAATCTAAAGAGAGATGGATAGGTTCTGGTAAATATTTATTTTTCTTCCACCTTTATATTTTGGAGATTGAGATAGAACAGTTTTTATGACAGCTAACATCTTACTGGAATCTTTCTTTAATTCCTCAATTAGGAACAGATGTTTTCCTCACTTTCTTTAACAAATAGTTTATAATACAAAGAAGGAAATTAACATGAATTGTGGATGTATCTAGCTAATTCTGTGTTGTAGATGGTCGAGTAATCTTAGTTAAACCTCCTTATCCAGAAAAATCTCTGGGGCAAGGGCACAAGTCTACAGTCAAGAAGAGTATTCTGCTTCAAAGAAGGAATCTCTGCTGTGTGTGCTAGTTGAGATGCTGCATCTCATGGACTGTGCACCCCTTTGTAGAACAAGGGTAGTGAATCCATAGTATCCAAAGATACAGAGTTGAGGAAACTGAAGCATAGATATGTACAGCATCTGAAGACAGGCAGGGATCCTTAAACATGGACAGCATCGAAAGGAAGATGGGTCTGCAGGGTTTTTTTTATTTGTTTGTTTTTTCAAAGAAAGACGTAGCCTACCAAGAAGGATTTTTGAGTAATTCAAAAGCTTCTATTCTTGTTGGTGAAGACTGAAGTCTTCATAAGTGTCTTCAAAAATACAGAAGGAGCAAAATCTCCATAAACTATATGAATGTGTTATGTAACGTTACTTGACAAAGATGATGCTTTTTTGTCAGTAAAGTTCCCCGTGTTCTGAGAGGTTTGTTCTTTAATGGAACGTTTTCTTCTATGTTAGATATTTTCACAATACCAGAAAAATACATAGTTAGACTAAAACTGTTTATCACCAAAGGTTATGAGATGAAGAAAATGATGTGATATTGTGTTCCCTCCAGAGGTTGCACAGCTGCCCAGATCTTGTCAGTTTTTTGGTGGAGCTGAAAACTGTTATGGTAAGTAACGTTATATATATGTGGGAGAAGGAGTGTTCTTACAGATTTGGTTTTCACTTTCAATTTTTTCACAATTTACCACTTGACAGATGGATTTATGATGAAAAAAGAGGCAATTTTGTGTGTATGCTGCTCACATAATATTCATATAAATACCCTTTAAGATTTTAAGTGACTGTACTCTTTAGAAAATGGAGTATTTTAGAAAAAAACAAAATTCTAGCAAGTGATCTTGGTTTATTAGGTATAAGAGCTATCCTCTTTACAACGCTCTTACTGAGATTTCTTCTGTTATCCGAGTGGTAAAGAAAGCTTATAGTCGTGCAAAGGGAGTGTGGTCTTTTGGTGGATTACTGAAGGTGCTTTTACCTGCATGACAACTTGATCGATCCATAAACGTAGAAAACTTTATTTTATACTATGAAGACTGCTGTTTATTCTTTATCAAAGCATTTTTTAGTCTGGGGTTATAAGAGTAGCGAAGCTTTGGGTTAACAACATGAAGTTGGTATTTTGTTGTCAGTTAGTAAAATTTTACTTTATAGGCCTTCTTTACAAAGAGTAGTTACATTCCCACCCTACTTAATTTAGAAATAAAGCACAACAAGTATTTTTTCAAAACAGCAACAAAAGTACTCTCCTTTTTTTTTTACGATCCTGCTCTGCACTAGGAATGCCTTTGTTCGATGTTGGTTAATCCCTGCCAAACCAGATAAAGCTAAACCAGACAAAGGCACTTGGAATAAGAGTAAGACTTAAGAAAGTCCACCTGTGGCTATTGTGGAATGTTTCACAACAGTTATTCCAATCTATTTGTCTGGATACATAAGCCCTGAGAAAATGAGAATGTATTGAAAGTAGAATTTGTTCAAAATAGTGCAATATTTCACACCATGCAGTGATCTTTAATGCAGACAGAGAAAACAATTGAAGACAACGTAGGAGAACTTGGGAGAGATGATTGTTATATTCATGTTTTACTACAATTTCTGTATTATCTGTATCTAAATGGTAGAAAAATATTTCTGTTAGTTCTAAGCTAAATCACAGAGTTTGTAAGATCATCCTTTTTCACATCAAGACTAAAAGTTAAAAAGAAAATGTCTAAAATCTTAAAGCAGATATCCTGAAGTTGATCATTGCAGTAATTGTAGTAGCATAAATATTTTGCTTGGTATTTCTTCACGTTTTTATTTCTTCTCATTAAAATATGGTATATTTTGCTACTATTGTGTAAGACTCTGCAATTGCGATGTGACTTTTCTCTGGAAAACTGATTTTTCTTCTGTTCTGTATCTCTTGGAGGATTTATTGTGTTTTTATAAAAATATTAGCATTGTCTTTGTAGCAGGACAGCCAGCTGTAGCCTGAAAATATATTTCCTGGCCATGTGATTTACAGGTCACGTGATGTGATGTCAAAATGAGATATTAATTGAGTATTTCTGAAAAAACTCTGAAGCTTTGTAACATTTCTACTTTGCATTGATTTTCCAGTAACTTATAATTGCAGTTTATCTCATAGCAGGCAGGGTGGAAACTTTGGTTCCCTAGTTATTGCCATGCAAGTTACAGCTCCCAAACATAAGTTCTGTACAAATTGCCTGATCTTATGCTAGTCCCTAGGTTTTGATTAGAAATATGCATTATCAAGAGAAAGGAGCAGGAATTTTTTCCTCTTCAGGTTTCCAAACAACTGCTAAACACCTCTGAACTCAAGCTTTTTAAATGATGGATAAACAAACAGAGTAGAAAAGAGAGTATAATTTTTTTTAACAATCCTATATTTAGAGAAATCTTTTAAATAGTGGGTAGATGTCCTTATGTTGAGAGGTAGCCAGGATCTGAGAAGGACAGTCAAGAGTTGCAGCTGGTAGATTTTTTTTATTTTTTTTTTAAATATCCACAGTGACTAGCTCTATTTTTGTGAAAAGTGTTCATCTAACCAAAAGATATCCCCCTGATAACACTAGAAAACCTGTTTGTAGCATTAATCAGTGCTTTAATAGTCTTATCCCTTCTCTTTCTCTCTATCCTTTTGTTTATGGGTATCAACTGTGCAAAGCTTCAGGTTCTGAAAAAAAGCCACAGCTTGTGACATACTATTGTGCAATCATGTTTGCTTCCCAGTCAAGAACATTTCCAAACATAAGTGACTGCCCTTTCAACAAGATTTTTTTTCTCTTCACTTACTCTTTTGGAATATTTTTTTTTAAATCAGAAAACAACCGTAACTGAGAAATGTATCACCGAATTTTGTTAATTATCTTCGGAAATTACTCAGCCATTTCTAACTTACAATAGAAGCTTGCTGCAGTGCATTCTGTACTGTTTCTGAGACTTTATGGAGAGTCTGATAGCTATCCATTCACTGCACAAAATCCTAAGGTAGAATAGTTTAGAGGTGATGTAAAATAATTACAACAATCAATCATAACTAGCAGTTTTACTGACAGTATGTGGCATTGTGATTAAAATCATATCTTAATCTCAGCATTGTTTAGTGATTGCAAGATAGCTCAGAAATCCCTGTCCTGTGACTTCACTGTACATTCCACATGCACAGTGGAACGCCCTGAATCCATCTCCTTCCCTTTCTCATATGCCAAGCACAAACAAACCAATAGTGTCACATTTTCAAAATCACTTTTTTCCTGCGTGACACTCTTGTAGTACCAAGAGCAATTGGTCTGAGAGGATGAAATTCATTTCTTACGTTCTGTTTTAAATAATGAAATGATTTTGCATTGTCTTCCACCTGTATGACAGTAACTTTCATATTGAAGGGCAAGGTTAGTCTGTTAGAAGATTTGACACATTCTTTGCAAGTGAAGGAGGCTTACATTGGTTGACAAAGTCAGTGCTCTACTGCTGTGGAGCACCTCTGGATTTTGTATTTTTACCGTGGGATGTTTAAAGGCAGGTTTTGCCAAAGTCATTTGCCATTAAATGTTACCTGTAAAGCGGTGGTTCAGAACTTACTTCATGAGCAGCTCAACTCTGCAGTAGGGATAGACTGAATAAATAGAAGCCATGAACTTGTCAGCCTTCCTTGTACAAGTTAATCTTGCTTTAAATCAAAATGTGTGGATTCCGTCTTTGGAAGCTGAATGTAGATTTGTTGCAGTAAGAACAAAGTAATTCTGTCACAGGCTTTTCTCATGGTTTATCCTTCACTCATCTGTCAGAGTGCCTTCTTTATAATTTTGACAGAATTGTCCCAAACATTGATTTGCTTTTCAGCTGGATTCCTTTTTTATCATGGAATCATTCTGATTGGGATTTAGCGTGGTCTCCAGTCCAACTTCCTGCTCACAGCGCAATCAACACTGAATTCAGAACAGGTTGCTCAGGGCTTTATACTGTCAGATCTTGAAAACCTCTTAGGACGGAGATTCCACAACTTCCCTAGAAAACCTGTTCCAATGCTTAATTGTCATCGTAGCAAAAAAGTTGCTCGTTATCTTCAGATGGAACCTCCCTTTTTCAATTTATGACCATTGTCTCTGACCTTGTATCTCAGTACAGCATTCAATTTAATAACAATGAAAAAATCTTGTTCATCATGAAGCTTCAGTAATGTTTTGTTCATCTGTTAACTTGTACCTCTCTTACCCCTCTCCCACCCCACCCCCTTTTTTTTTTTTCTCCCCACTTGTTTTGTTTTTAATTCTTGGGCCAGCTCTGTGGCTGTGGAGCCCAGGAGACAGCTGTGGGCTTTATATGACCTTCTTTTGAAATGTTCCTTCAGTCAAGATGCTTGACTTCAAATTTATTGGCTGAAAAAAAGAGGCGCACTTGGTATTTGCATGTGAAGACTATGTTGTCAACATCTGTGTTTTTTTTAATTGCAGATGTTTTTGTTACCAATATCTAAAGTAATTCACAAAACAGCTTCTTTGTCTGCTTTAGCTGGAGGCTATAACAAAACAAATGCAGTGTACAGTTAATTTTACATAAGCTTAATATTTTTGAATGAATTGCAAAAATCACATGACTAAATGGATGCAAAAATATTGAAATCTCTTTTAATGATGTGTTAATACTCTTTTAAACAGGAAATTGCCTTAAAGAAGACACCAGAGCTGCATATACCCCGGCCACCAGAATACTACTCCTGTCTTGTCAGAGATATAGAAACATTGGGCTGGAATAAGTATGTTTATTTTAATACTTAACAGAGATTATATTTAGAATATCTGTTGTTTGTTCAGATACATGAATTGAACATATCAATTGTACTTGTTCAGCTAACTTATCCTCTACCGAAACTGTGATTTTGTATGAAAAACGCTGTACTGCTCTTTTTTTTTATTTAAAAAACTACTACATATACAGAAGGCATATTCTCAGTTTCAGACAATTTACCTGAAAGGTGAGGTGCTACTACTAAGAAATCAATTCTTACTTGACCTATAAAGTGTTGGCATAGTAATACTTAATGCAGCTTTTATTTTTCTCATTTTTCTTTCTTTTCACCTAGTTTGTAGAACTTTGTTTTGATTCTGCCTGTTGTGTATTGAAGGATAATAGTGATATAATTACAACTAACTTAGTAAAGTAGCTATGGTTGACAGCAAGTGTCTTTATGCTGTCATAAAAACCTATATCACATTTTAAAAAACTAGAGTAATTTGCTTATTTCTGAGAGAACAGTTCAATCTTGCTTCCCATACCCACAAGGACATCCATAGATAAAGGAGTAACATGGTTAATCTGGAGGAAAAAAAAGGTAAATCTACAAGAAAAGTGTATGTGAGTGTAGGGGAGAATTTGGAAAGCTGTAATTCCAGAACTATAAAGCTGCCCAGCTCTTCCTGAAACCCATGCAAACTGATGCATAAACTGATGCTCATCAGCAAACTAATACATATTTTCCACTATCCAGATAGGTTCAGATAGAGGATAATAGAGAGCATTCAGGAGTCTCCAAAGGTTATCTTGATTCAGCTGTGCAAGCAGACCATATTTTGAGGGCTTCTTTTTTGGGGGGAGGGGGTTGTCATTCAAGTGGGAAAAATTAATCGCTGCATGAGGAGAGCATAAGTTTGTCACCTGAGGGTGTAGGCTCAGTGTACCCAAGACCATGGTTTCAGGGTGTATGCTGTAGTAGAGATTGAGTATTTGTGAAATAACTAGTGACGGTTCTGGTCAGAGAAAAGAAGAAACTGGAAGCGAATCTCACGCTAAAACTGTTGTTTTAATAGCATAGGAAAGAATGACACATGAGCAAAGGATATTTTCCTTTGTTGAGGAAAGAAATGTTCACATACCTGCCTCTTGATGCCTTTTCGTTAGGATCTCGAAGAGTTCAGGCTATATTATTTAGAGTCCCATGTACTATCAGATGAGATTGTAAAACAAAATCAATTTGATCCTCCCACCGGGGGGAAAAAAAATTGTTCTCCTCAGACCTCCTGTAGAAACCTGAGGGAACACACGCTTGTAATTAAGTACTCAAGGTCCTTGTGGAAGTCTTCCAGAAATCCGCAAAGCCTCCTCTTCTGCGGGCTTTTACCTGAAAGACTTGAGCTGGCATCACATGTGCCAGCACTGGCAGGTTCTCTGATATCGAATCATTTATTCCTAGACCAGAGAGCCTGTGACAGAATGATTTACATCCTGTCCACTACAGCCTCCCGGAGACGTGTATGAGGTTAAAGAAGGTAGTTGTTTTGATGTAGGGAGACATGAAGGAGATATATTTATAGAGTATCTTTAATTTCACTTATAATCTACAGTTAATCTCTCGATGCCTTCTTTCAGGGGGTAAGATGAAAGATTAAGTAGGATGTTGAAGAGTCTTGAATGAGAAGCTACCTTTTAGGTTCTATAAAAGGAAAGCAAAAAAGTCTACATTTGAGGTTTTCCTCAAGACAAATCTACTTTTACCTTAATCTCAGATGGTAAGCTAACTTTCATAAGTGTTGATTTTTACTACATGAAATAAAAAGGTCTTGGGTTGAAGAACAGTGTTGAGTTTTCTCACGTGATTCCTGTGTAAATAACTTACTTGTAATTAACATTGAATAAGAATTTGCTTTGAAGACCCACTTAAAACATCCTTGTTAATTCAGCTGAAGTTTTCTCGGTGATATCCATTACTAAGTATAAAGTTGTGCTGGCTGAAGACATTCTTTTCAGATTTCTCAGACTCAGGTCTGCAAATTTATTATTTAAAATTTCTTAAACGTATTTACACAATTTTGCTAGCATTAGAAATAAATTCTGAGCTTGTACCCTCCCCCAAAATAAAAAAAAAAAACTCAAAAAACCTACATACGCAAAATCAAGACTGGCATAGAATAAATATATATTAAAAATATTTACTATGCTATATTTAATTAAATATATAAATGCAGTATATAATTAAATGCACTGCAAATACACTTCTAAAGTGAAATTCAGTAGCTGGTGTTTCCTCTGACATGGCCTACATACAAAACATTTAGTGATTTATTATCAGAAAAATCACATTGGTGTTCTATTAGAGCGTGCTTCTAAGGCAGAATTTCACTTGATTTCTAGGCAAGGATAGTTTTCATCGGGACACACAGTTCTCTGTGCTTTTGTCCAGTGCAGTGGTGTAATTCAGTATACATACACTTCTTGATCAATCTCTGTTATAGAAAAAATCACTGTTTAATTTTTTTTGTTTAAAGAAGTCAATCATTAATTAAAGGGCTCAACTGTTTTTAGGGGATTATATCTGAAGTATGACTTGAAAGGAGAGTAATAACCTGGATAGGTGATATGAAGTACATTAACAAATATGCCCTCTAATTTTAGTATGCTCTTAGCAGTATAATGTATGCATGACCTACAAAGAAGGCTTCTTTAGTCAGGACTGATTTGGAATTGCTGGTGATGCACATGTATGTGCACGTGTTTATTAAAGAGGTCCTCATACGCTCTTTGAGCACTAACTAAGCCTGCATTTAGTACTACCAGGAAGGATTACTGCTCACACTTTGAGAAGCCTCTGGCTTTATTTTACAGATTTCTTCTTGGAAAAGAACTGGCTTGTCATGTTCTGTTGGACCCTGTATTTACCTTTTCCTAGTGAGTTTTGGGTCGTGCTGGAAGTGTGCTGATGAAGCTGATTGCGTCCAAATCTGATAGAATAACAAAAGCAATTTGGACAAAAGAGAATCAAAGAAATAGGCTGTGGTTCCTTTATCTCTGAATGAGAGCTTCTTTGCTCAGGAGATGGTACAAATTTAGTGTGTTCTAATGACTTTGATCTGAGGAATATGAGAAGTTTCTCAGAAGGAAGTTGAAGACATTATCTAAAATGATCTTATCCCTCTTTTGTCCTCAGCCACTGAAAGGAAAAACAGTAAAGAAGATTGCAAATGGGCAGGCTGCTGTGATTTATATAATCACTCTCTCTCTGATACTGTTTCTTTGACCTAATTTAGATGCAAAGAAGAGGCATGTGTTTCATGTGTTTTTTTTTTCTTTTTTGAGTTTGCGCACCCAAAAGTTACAGTTCAACAGGTTCTAGAACTGTATCAAAATTTAGTGTCTTTCTCCCAAAAGCTGAGGAGTTCAAAAGAGAATACTTCCTTCATTTTAAGAAGATGGAAAAAACCAGCAGAAACCTAATAAATATTGTCTGCTTTAATTGAGGTGGGAGAGGATACACATGAAGTGGCAGTAAGCTAATGGAAAGGAGCTTTTAAAATTATCTTATAATCTGACTAGTGTATTCAATGACGGTGTCTCATGAAGGTGGGCTTTTGACTGTGAAATAGTCTGTAGGACTCCTCTCACTGTCATGTGGATTCATAAAGACCACCAATATCTCTTCAGTCCACGATGTGAGTCATGTTCCTGATCGTCTCAAGACAGTAGAACCTTGATTTCTGCTTGATGCTTGCCAAGATTTTTGTACCACAGGTATCTTCTCTTCTTGCCTCCTCCTTTCTTACGGAGTCCTGCTTTATCATGTGCTCTCAACAAAATATCATGTATGTGTTTTGTTGAATTATTTCTGAGATTTAACTGTGACTTTCCATCTCTGATCTTTACATTCTTTCGTATATGATAAAATGATGGAGTCTGCAGAGGAATACAGATTTATATAGGTGCAATATCAGCTATATAAACAATTCTTTCATGTGTCATACAATTATGTGAGGAAGTTTATATGACTTTTCAAGGTTGTCCAACTTTCTGCATTGCTACAGAATTGACCTTTTCCTCTCTTCTTGTCCAAAGATTGGTGGAATGATGTTACAGAACAGGTAGCCACTAAGCTACTGAGTTCTTTTTTTCTGTACTAAATGGAAAATTGAATCCCCCTTCATTCCCCGGGGGCAGTTTATTGCTTTTTACATTCTGTTGAGAAGAAAGGAGACTAGCTATGAATTTTCATTCAGGACATTCTTCAACCCTGTCTGCCCCTTGTTGTCTGAGGATTTTTTTTGTTCCTTGATATTGCTGGTTTTGGAAAAGTTTGAAAGGGAAGGCAATGTGTTATTAGAAAACCTCTAAGAAATACATTGTTTGTAATGAATAATATCTGAAAGCTGTTGTGTTGTTTAGCTTGAATAGTTGCCATCTAGTAGTGGATAGTTGTTGAAGTTAGAATAATGAAAAGTTGCAAGAATTTCCAAATTGGAGTGAATTGTGCAGCATACGGGTGAGGGTCTACATTTTTTTTACAGTTCTTTTCTACTATGTCTAAGCTCAGAGACAGTCACATTTTAGACTGCTTTAAAATATACTTTTAAATATGAATTCTAAAACTGAAGATTTATTAAAATATATATATAGAGAGAGAGAGAGAGAGAGAGAATAATGGATTTGTAAAGTAGTTTCTCTTTAGGATTTTCATGAGGTATCCATACATGTGTGATTAAATAGGTAGTCATCATTTGCTCCTTTTCCAAATACACTTAAATATTTTTTGCAGTTTCTCTAATATGCACTTTCAGTAAAACTGAATGTGTTCTTTACAAGTATGACTGAATATAATAACAATGTTGATGCAATTATTTTTAATATAATCATATGTGTGTGTATATCCATAGTTTAAATATATAAATATGCACACGTATCTAAATATTTATTTTAAAGGTTTGCTGTCAGGTGGTTAAAGTAATTGTAAAAGCACTGAATCGTTAAGGATTCCAGAAATAAATTTTAAGATGACTGTGTCCATTGCTATCTAGGAAATGTTAATTATTCTTTAATCTGGTTCCATCCTGCCCAGTGCAGAGTAAGGAACTGCAAAAATGATTGATTTAAAATAAAACAACCTATAGCTTTCTGGCATTGCCAGCGTGGAATGTTCCAAGCAAGGTAACTATCAGAACAGGTAATTTTCAATCCTAGACACCTTGACAGTGTCCCTTTAAATTTTCTCTTCTCCCTTGCCATCTAACTGCCAGTGCATTATGACTGGCACCAGTTATTCTATGTTTTGGACAGGACACTATATATTTTCCTGGAGTGTTCATACTGTACTGTGGCTGCTGGTTGGTTTCCCCCACCCCAGGCAAAAGTGGATGGGATGTAAATAGTTTCTTCTTATCTGTGTTTTAAAAAAAAAAAAAAAGGCAACCAAACAAAAAAAACAACCCCCCCCCACACACACACAAAAAGAAAAACAAACTTTGTGATATAATTTTAAGGTGAACTTTGAAACAAGGTGGGAGTAATGATTTTTTTTCCAGTTATGGTAGGGATAGTCTGAATTCTGTCTAAATAAAATCAGTTTAATTACCAACAGTTGAATTGCATTTTTTTATCAATACATATATTTCTTTCAAATGTTTCAGGAAAAATAAGGCATGTCAAAATACTCTCAAGTATCTTGGGACTGTTTAATATTGCATTACAATCAGCATTAAACGTGAAATAATTGATCTCTTTCCTCACTTAATCTACTGCTACTGCTTTTCCTGTTTTTATTTTTCAGTTCTTGCATATTGAGGCTGTGAGAGCCTCTTTCTTTTTTCACTTCCTACCTAGGAACGGACACACCCTTTGGATTAGTCCTATTTTTTCTTGTTTAAAACATACTTCTACAATTCCCTTGCCAGTTCATCCTGAAAGAGAACCATTTGTCCAAGCATACTGGCTCAAGTGACTGGGCTTGTGTGCAGTGGTTTAAAAAAAAAAAAAAAATTAAGTCAGTGAGCAGATGCTCGGTTTGAACTCTGATGGGGCCTTCCTATCAGTTTAGATGATTAGTACAATAATCTTACACCGCTTTTTATCTTTGCACAAGACTGACATAGTGAAAATGCCAAAATATCCATGTGTCTGCTTCACTAGTAAATGTATGGATAAGTTTGAATCTTTTTGGTAGTTGTTAAAACTACTCAGGAAAACGTATTTCTAGAGAACAATGTATTTTACAATTGAATTCATTTTCATTTTTGTGGGAAACGCAAATCAGTAACATCTTAAGCAAAAAGCCAGTGATTTGGTCCTAAGTTTTAAAACTTATTAACCTTTGGTATGTACTTAAAACTTGCTTCGGTGCATGCAAACTGTGTAAAACTGTCATAAAAACAGAAGGAAATCATTGTAAATAACTCATTTTGTACCTGTTCCAGTACTGTTATCTGCCGAAAGTCAATTTCAGAATATAAGCCAATATCTACTGAATTTTCCACAATAATAGTATTGATAATAAAAGAGAACATCATTGAAGAGAAAAGCAAATCAAGAGCATAAAAGTCTCATACTGTAAGAAACTACAGAAATGGATCAAAGATTTGACAGGAAGTTTAATGTGTACATAAGCAGAGGCTGACAGGAACATGCTGTGTGTGTCAAAGGTTCCAGTGATGGAAAACTGAAACATAGTGCTCACTGACCACAGCATGAGCCTTGACACACATTGTAAATAACCCAAAGATATATGACTGCATTAAGCAGTAAACTGGTGTATTAACAGCAGTAAATCTAGAACAGCAGAAATGGTTGGCATATAGGACTTCCTCTGATTAATATTTCTAGCAGACTAATAAGAGTATTGCAGAGATTTCAAACTGTAATTCCTACAATACTGTTACAATTTTCTTTTCTCTTCCAGAGTTGCATATGTAGATACTGGTCTTACCACCATCAAGCTAAAAGCTGAAGACTCACGTGGTCGAGAACATCTAATCAGTCTGAAGTTAAATGCAAAGGTGAATTTATATATGGAGAAAATGTTTTAAGGCTTCCTGGAAAAAAAGAAATGCTTTATTTAAATTCCTAAGGATTTTAGAGAGTTGATTTCTTTTTAGACGTTCTTGCATGTTTGTTACGCAAGGAAATGTGTTTTTTGGCGAAATGATTTTGTATAGAGTAGAGTTTTCAGACTTGAATTTCACTTAAAATTCATACTACTTTATGGTTATCTGTAAGAATCTTTTCATGTGAAGCTGTGCACCACATGCAAAAGCCTTTTATGATATTGCAATTATTTTATTGTATTACAGGCAAAGCCATTTGGGAGACTCTCATTCATTATCACTCAGTCCAGAGACTAAGAATATGACAAGAATTAGAGTTGAGTTGCTTCTTTAGCAAGTCTTACAGTTTAAGCCATAGAGACAAAGATTTATGACAGACTGCCTACAGAAGTGGGGTCCTTGTGTTAAAAAAAAAATTACTTCTTTTTAGGTTAAATAATTGACTGATTTTGGCAGTGCTTGCTTCTAACATAATGTTCCTGTTACTAATTATCCCTATAACTCCTTAAATACTGCTTTGAGTTGTTCTGAAAATTTGCTGTGCTGTTGTTTTAAGTGTAGCGTGGAAGGCTGCATGATTTTTGCAGTGCAAAGTCTTACAGATATTTCCTAGCAGTCTTTGAATCGTTCTTAGAGTGAACCAAACCAATGGCATGTTTGGAGGCAACACAATTTTTTCTTCCTGATGCATTGAATCAAACTGTGTTCTTTCTTTGAAAAATTTAACATTGCAAAGCATGAATCTCCTACCAGAAAGACTGAATATCCAGGCTATATGGTGACATATGCCAACACCAGCAATATGGTGTTGGTGTTGTCTTCACAAAATCCATTCAAGGGAAAAAAATGGATCCCAGACAGTCACTTTAGTGACTCTTAATACCTTTCAAACGCTGATGGTTTATGACTGTACCTAATCTAACATCTGGAGTAATAATCTTGAAGGGATGAAGTTTGAGCATGGTAGTGTAAGATTTAATTTCATCTTCCCAGACTTCTTATATTCCATATAAATACTTCTTCTAGCTTTACATAAGACAAGTTAATTTTACCTTTGCATGTCATCCTGTCACTGGGCACCACTGGAAAGAGTCCTCTTTACACCTGCTGATCAGATGTTTCTAAACACTGGTAAGATCCCCCCCTTGGTCTTCTCTTCTGCAGGCCGAACAGCCCCAGCTCTCTCAGCCTTTCCTCGTATGAGAGATGCTCATATGAGATCTGAGCAGCCCTTTGCTGGCCTCGCTCCGGTAGCCCCATATCTCTCTTGTATTGGGGAGCGCAGAACTGGACCCAGAGCTCCAGGTGCGGCCTCACCAGTGATGAGTGGAGGGGGAGGTTGACCTGCCTTGACCTGCTGGCACCGCTCTTAGATGCAGCCCAGGAGGCTGTTGGCGGCCTTTGCTGCGAGGTCACGTTGCGGGCGCGCGGTCAACTTGTTGTCCACCGGGGCCTTCTCTGCAGAGTTGCTCTCCAGCTGGTCGGTCCCCAGCCTGCTCTGGTGCATGGGGCTGTTCCTGCCCAGGTGCAGGACCAGGGCCCTGCACTTCCCTTTGTTTTGTGTTATCGGCCAACTTGCTGGGGGTGCGCTCTGTCCCTTCGTCCGGGTCATTAACGAAGATGTCAAACGGAGCTGGCTCCAGTATTGTCCCCTGGGGGACCCCGCTAGCGGCTGGCCTCCAGCTGGGCTTTGTGGGGCTGGTGGCAACTCTCTGAGCCCAGGAGTTCAGCCAGTTTTTTAGCCCACCTCCCTGAGCGCTTATCTAGCTGGCGCTTCGTCAGCTTGTCTATGAGGATGTTGTGGGAGTCGGTGTCAAATGCTGTATTAAAGCCAAGGTAAACAGCATGCACTGGGCTCCCCTCATCCACTAAGCCATTCCTCTCGCAGTAGCAATTTATAAGCTTGGTTAAGTACCATTTTTCCCTTTGGAAATCCATGCTGACTACTCCCAGTCGCCTTCCTGTCGTCATATCTGGAAATAGTATCCAGGAGTAGTTGCTCCATCACCTTCGCAGGGATCAGTGTGATGCTAACTGACCTGAAGTTCCTCAGATCCTCCCCCTTCCTCTTCTAGAAGATGGGATTGGCTTATTTCAAAGGAGCTTTTCAGAAGTGTAAGGCAATGGTGTTGATGTTGTCTTCACAAAATCCATTCAGGGGAAAACCATGCCCCTGGTTTCTCAAGCATGATCTCTATACAACTTATTATTAAAATACAACTGGCTAATCATTTGATTATGAACGTTCTGGTGCTGGTTGTTTCTAAAGGTATTCTGAGGCTAAGCATGAGAAAGAGCAGATGACGGCCTGTTCCCAGCTGTTGGTAAAAGGTATCCAGTAGTCTGAAGCAGTAAAGAGTCTTTGCTCAGAAATCCCCTGACGTTCATATCTATGCTTTTCTGCAAAATACATAGTTGAATCGCAAATTTAGACAGCTTTTATTTTTCAGTATTGGGAGCAGATTTTTGCAGCTTTCTTTGCAGATTTCTTGTAGCTTGCCCTTCTCGACAGTTCTGATCAGGCCCTGTTGCTGTGCTGATAGGGCCTCAGCTCTAAGAATATAATATGAAAAGGAGAATAATAGAATTAAAATTTATGTGTTCGAATTGTCATTGGTAAGTTATGTCTTACATCCTCTTTTTAGTTGTTGAAAATTTGCTCTTGCGTTTCTAACTCGGGATGAGTTCCTTATCTGAAACTATGTAAAACGAAGATTGGGATAGCACTTGCTTATGTAACGAAGATGCAGAGAGTGGCAGAATTTTCCGAGAATAGCTTTTCTTTGTCATTTGGAGTGAAATTGCTCATTTGAATTATAAGAATGAAATTACAAAACTTGTAAACTAAAATTAAACTAAACTAAACTGATTTTTGCAGTGCTCTTGCATATTCTTTAATGGATGATAATAGCTGCTTCCCCCTTTTTACTTCAGTGAAATAAAACTATTAACACATACTTTTTGCACCTGTGCTTGACAAAGAATATTATCTTGATATAGGTTATATTTCTATAAAAATGCTGTAATCAGACTAGAGCCTAACTGTTAATTTAGTTGAGAAACAATCTGATTTCAGCTGATTTTTAAAAATATTTTAATACAGTTTTTCATAGCTATTTATTGACCTCTCTGAATTCCCGCATTCTGCTTGCAATTTCCAGTCCTTGTCAGTGCTGTCTGGAAGTTTGATCTTGTTCCTAACATAGCTTCTTAACTCCTGAAACAGGATTTGTGAGTGGCCTTTGAAAGGCAGTGTGATTGCAGAGTGTTTTGTCCTGGTTGCGTATGTGATTTTAGAGCTGTGTTACGTGACTGTGCTTTTCTCACCTATATAAGAAGGGCCGAGTAAGGAGAATCTGGAGACTCAGGTCGGGTCTGTATTCATGAGCATTCCCGTGTGCTTACCGAATAGCTTCGGCGTAATAGTGTGGTAACAGCATGTATCTGCTTCTAGGTAGCATGGTGCTTTATTCTTTTGTCTCCTCTGGTAAGCCTTACCACTCTGCCACAAGGGGAATTGAGATTACTGTGTTCTGTTGTTATCCAAAAACTTATGCATTTTCTTTATAGTAATAATATGTCTGAAGTTGAGACTCCTCCTAGCAGAAGGAAGCACCTTCTAACAACTAAAGATACAATGTAATAAAAAGACTAGATTATGCAACTTGCCTTGTTGCCTTGTAAGGCAACAATCGACCTTTTTTTTCAAGTGACTGTTATGATGAAAGAATCAACTGTTTTTAAAGAATCAACCTTTTTAAAATGTGTCTTGCCATTTAAAATTGCCATAAGAGAGAATTTATGTGCGAAACATAGTTTTGGTGACATGATTTGATTTTTCAGTAGTATACGTGTCTAATACTTCTTTAAAAACTTTGAAGTATTTTTAATAGGATTTATTGTGATAACCTGCTTTATTAAAGTATGTTAATTTTTGTTATGCTGTTTCTTTGGATAAGGTTAGTATATGAACTAAACCCTGCCATTCCACAGCGCATATTGCCAGTTTATATTCTGGCAGATGAGATTGTTCAGCCTTGTCCTCATGGATGCCATGCAATGAAATGAATTTATAGGCCTGCTGACAATGTTTTGAGGGGAGACATGCTTCTCTAAATGATTTGGTAAATTCTTTTTCATGAAGTGACCGTGCGTATTTAGATAAACCTCTAAATATTGCTCCTTTATCTTTTCTTAAAGTTTGGATGCATTTTGAGGACTTTTACGTAATGCATTGTGAAATGATTGAGAATGCTTATAGCATAGAGTAAGGTAGGTTTGCCAAATAAGGTGCTACAAAATTTGACTTTAATGATATTAAGTAGGCTTAGCCTTGTAAAAGGATATATGGTTTAATGCTCAGATTACATTTTGTGAAACAGTTTTTGAATTCATTTAGTTGAAAGTATTCGGTCCAAATATCTTGATCCATTCACAATGTAATAAATGACCTAGAGAAGTTTCCTGAAAACCTTTTGAAAGGTATAAAACTGAATACATTAGTTTTGACTTATGAGATTATGTTTTGTATTACACGAGAAACTAATATGAGTTACTCTAGGAAGTAGGTTGGGTGCTTGCCATTTCAAATCCGAAAAATTCTAATAGGCAACTGCAAGAAGTTGTGTCTCGTGTAGTGAACAACATGTTCTGACGATCGTTATATGAATGGTTTGGCCAGGGTTATGAAAATATTTTTGCTCTAAACAGTTAGATGCATGCTCAAAGATTATATATAAAGTATTTTCTTTAGTAACTGCTTAATTACTACTCTAGTATAAATTGAATAGGATAATTTCTAACATAAATATATATTTGAATGCAACTAATATAAAATATGATGTCATTGATACGCTCTACCATAGTATTTTATAGTACCATCTCCTCGGGAATCACTCACGTTATTTTATATAGGATTTCATCATGCAAGGTCTAAAAGCATTATACTAAACATATATACAGAATTGTTGTTGCATAAAAATGCATCTTTCTTGGCAGTTACCTGGTGCACAGAAGTACAACATTGTGCTGTGCCATTAGAGAAAAATTGGCTAAGAATGCAGAGGAAAAAGTGCTGTAGGGTTTCTTTAAAAATAATATAAAGTTAGTGGAATCTGTTTGCCATCGCTTGTTCAAAGGCATCCTATGAAAGAGTGCATGAAATGAATTTACTTACCAGGAAAGTTAGCACATAATTGGCTAAAGCTGCTGGAGTGGTCCCAAAACTGATCCTGCAGAACAATTGTTCTGTCTTAGTCTGTTCTAGGCATACTTTTCTATACAGAAAACAAGTTTACTTTACGCAAGCATTGAAGTATTTCATGAAAAAATAATACCAACACTAGAATAAAAGAAACCGTAACAGCTTTTTTGGATAGACATTTTTAAATTGTAACTGCCTCCTGCCCAAATTAGTTCTCGTGATCTGTCATTGTTGTTTAACTTTTGTGCCGCCAATTTGATAAGCGCAAGATATTCAGGTTGTAAAAGTTGTCTTCATAAAATGGATATCTAGCAAAAGACACAGATGAAGGCAAATAAAAAAATGCTAGTTTAAAGAAGTGTCTCTGAAATACATGAATCTGGATTATCAAAGAAAAAGCAATTAAGAATGGATGCTCCAAAGAAGCTGTATTTCTTTTTTGCTCTTTACAATAGACAGCAATTGGAAACTAACTAGTGCCGAAATACATTTTGTATAAAATAAAGATACATATTAAAAATTAAGACTATCTGGTAAATAACGTCTGTGCCTGAGGATTTATTTTCGTGGAGAGCGGTTATGGGCAGAAGCATAGTTAAGCTTCGCCTCTTTGTCTTAACTCCTCTTAATTCTATGAGGAGAGTGAGACTTTTTTCCCCCCCGATATTTCCCCAAGTAAGATTCTCTGTAACGCTTCCTTGAGTGGGCAGTTGATGCAATACTAATACAATTTCTGTAAAACTGCTGCACAGGTCACTAGTACAGTTTGACAGGTTGCATTGTATTGAAGGTTGGATTGGACTAAAAGATGCAACTTGTCAGATGATAAGCTTTACAAAATTTTGGATAGTTGCTCTTAAAAAGGACACAATTAATTTGCAACTAAACATTTTTTTCTTTGACTTCTTTATTTCTCAGAAAATACCAGTGTGTTCCACAGACGACATATTAGGATGCTGAACTGCAGTAAATTTACTAGTGTAATGAGTAGTCAATGGTCATTTTTTGAGTCAGCAAACTACTTAATATAGCTTCAGTTTTCATAATTCAGCTATTTCTTTTCTTCATTGGTAACTTTTAATGGTAGAGGAGGGTTGTTTTTTAATTCTGGGTGCAGTCATCCCTTTCTAAAGAGGTATGTGCTTACTCTGATTACTTTAAGTTTCAAAACAAAAAAGTGTTGCCTATAACAGCAACCATTCTAGTTTAAATGGAAAGTAATTCTTGACTCAGGAAAGGTTGTGTGTTTTTTTTTTTTTTTTTTTTTTTTAAACAGTTCCTCTCCAGTGCAGGTAACTGAGGAGTGAGAACTTTGCATGGGTAGTGCTTCGCTTCTTTTAGCAGGTGCAGTCAAGATGACAAGAAAGATACTTTTTTCATATTTGACCTTTTTGTCTTAAAGAGTCTTTTTCAATATATCTTTGAACGCATAAGAAACTGTGATTCCCTACCTTTAGTAAAATCTGATATACAAAAAATATGTAAGTGAAGTTTTCTTCTTTAAATGATAATTAACATTTATAAACATTTCTGCAAATGCTTTACAAACTTTTCCTTTGAAAGCCAAGTTCTCAAGATGCTTAAAGTGCTCAAATTTCGTTATCAAATTTGAGAGCTGAATATCAGTCTCACTTTAAATCACATCTGACAAAAAACAAAACAAAAGAAAAACTGTATTTCTTTCCCTCCATCAGTATCCTACAGAACCACCAGATTGCCTTGTGGATTTTCCTGTTCTGTTTGCTGTTTCTTGGATGCCACAGGTAAAATGCTGTACTATGCATCTTTTATAATAACTGAGAGATATTTGCAGTATGTACAAGATAAGACATGTAGGTGCTAATAATGTGTAATACAAATGGGTTGGACTTTATTTTTATCTCCATTTTTTCCCCAAACACATCCTACTGTTATACATGCTTATGTAAATGTAATAAGATTGAACTCCCTATCCCTTATGATATTGTTATAAACATTTTCCGTACCTTGTAGTTGTATCTTGCATTTTTTATGATTTGCGCTTGTACTGCCTGCTTTTCTCTTAAGCAGTTCATACTGCTGAAATGTCATATTCTTAGCAATAATATTTAGAAAATTTATGTATGAGAAGAAAGAAGCACCCTCTAAAGTTGACAAGCATTTTCCTCGTTTAAAAAAAAAAAAAAAAGCTGTTCCCCCAGTTTGTTATCCTGTATAGTCTCCATAAGGTGATAAAAGTTAAGTTATAATCAAAAGTGCAACAAGAAATTATTTAATAGAATTCTGTTTTCATAGGTTAACTGATACTGTTAATAAGAAGAACCAAGAGCCAGTCTTTTTTCAGTCTCTTGCATTATTTCATGTATCTGTCTTCCTTTAATAGAGCATGTATTCTTGATTAAATGGATTTAAATGTGCCGACTTACATTCAAGTTAATTTGAATTATCTCTAGAAAATACTTGATGTTTAATTTCATTTAATTCAAGAAAATAGATTTTACATAAATGATGGCTTTTAATAATTCTAACTCTGGCCATGTTTTCTACCCATCAGTAAAGCATGCCTTTACTGAATTAAATTTATGTAAGGAACACAGTTAAAAGGTTGTATCAGTATGAATTTAGGATGGCAGTAAAATTTTGACTGCAAGGCTCTAGGTTTTGTGTGCCGTCTCAAATAGCTTCAGTACGAGAGCTTGAGGAAATAACTGCGGGAGTGGATCATTGCAAATGAAAAATATATTTATTTTCACTTGTAATTTTACTTGCAATTTTTGATTTTTTTGGTATGATTTGGGACAACTTAGATACTAGTTTTCCCTTAGCTTGTACTGGATTCCATATACTATAGGCAGGATTTTAAATATTATTTCTAACCTCTAACTTTATACATATTTTTAATATTATTATTATTATATTAATTTTACAGCTTTGCAATATATGTTGTCTCAAATTGGCAGCAGTTCACTTATCCTTGGAAGTAGTTGCTTCTCTGAGTTTACTGTTAGTAAGTTTAAATCTACGAGCTGGACTTATGTTTTAATAAAATGTACTTAAAAACAAAATAGGAAGCAACACTGACAAGTTAAAGATAGTAGCAAATGTATCAATATTAACATAACAAACAAATAAAAATCTAATGTTAAAAATATGCTATTCTAGCGCTTAAGATTTTAAAAACTTTTTATAATTAGAATTAACCTGTGAACTGCTTGAAAACATGAACAACAGAGGTAGGTAAATAACTGAAGACAGTTTTGAAAGTGTAAGATACTAATTCCAGCAGGAGATACACTGTTGAACCAGATTCTAACAAACTATGCATTATGCTGATATAATTGCTTTAGTTGTACAGCCTTTTTTTGAAAAATGACTGTACAGTCATGATCTGTGTTGGTCACATGAATTTGACACTTGAAAAAATGTGTGTTGTAGTTGTTACATTTTTTACCTTATTATAAATTTCTTCTGCTTTCAAAATGCATGGAAATCACTGCAGTGAGCAATCCTCATGCTATTGTAAAATAAGGGTTAAGCATAGTAAACGCTCAAACACCACTGGTAGCAAAATTTAGCAGGTCCTCAAGTGGTTGAACGTTTTGATTGGGAAAGAGAACATGCATTTCATATCTGCTACTTAGAATAACATGAAGTTTTGATACTGATAAGTCTTTAATAGGTGTAGGTCACCTTTAATGTAAAAACTGACAAAACTTAACTCAAATTGTGCAATTGCATTATTATAATATAAACTCCTGTGAAAGAGAATATAAATAGATTTCAGGTGACTGATTTTTTTTTTTGGTTGTTTTTTTTGTTCTGTGTGCCTTTGCCTATTTCAGGTTCCTTTCAGTGCTTCTGGACTTTAAACTTGAGTGTTTTTTTTTTTTTTTTGGATAATAATAGGCATAGCTTTATGGCATCCATATTAAAAATGGGTAATTTTCCTTATGGTCCCTGTCTTCCTGCTGGGTTGATAATGTTTTGATGTATTTTTCTTTTGCTCTGATGAGAGGTCTGCTGCTGCTGCTCTGACATATTCATTTGGATGAATAATTATAACTTGCACAATGTCAAGCTGAAGATGGTAGGGTTTTGTGCGTCATGACAAGCCTAGTAGCCAGTGCAGGTGTCTCACAGCATGATCAGCAACAGCCAGTGTATTCTGGCTCAGAGGAGACATTTTAGAGTAGTAAGAAATCAGCACCAAGGGCAATGCTGCTGCTGCTGCTGTTATAAGTGCCAAATAAATGCAGAGTGCTTCTCAATGACAAGTGCAAGAACATCTACTTATTTCAGTTATATTCTTTTCCTGAATAACCAGATAAATGTGCTCTTTCCACATTTTAGCATATACTGTAAGCGTAATTCAGCTGTTTCAGTACATCTATATTCTGGTGCCCTCACATCGGGGTATTGTTTCTATACTGGCCACTGCCCACCTGGTTTGGTACATGAAGGTCATGAGAGTGGAAATTAATGACTAATGAGGTCATGCAGCCAGCCAACAATGAAGCAATAATATAGGATTCAGAAGGTATAATGGTATGAATTATACTGCAGTTATTTTGATGGGAACACAGTAAAATAAATCATTAAGGGTGGGGGGGTGGTGGGGGGAGTTGAGCAAGGGAGCTTCACAGACCTCAGCCTTCTATGTATCTATCAATACAAACAGTGGAGATAGTTGACAAGAAACTTTTCCAGGATTTCAGAATGTTCTCTCTCAATCTGATTTATGCTAGGGAGGAGGAAAATTGTAAAACATAAGTTTGTAAGAAATAAACAGTAGTCCAAGCATATTTGAAGAATCGTAAATTATTTAGGTGCTACAGGTGAGCCCTTTGCCAACCAACTTTATTCACTTTATTAAATTGTTCACTTTATTAAATTGTATTCTGTCTGTCTATGACTCTGGTAAGCTGATGCTTACAGCTTAATAGATACGGTTTTCCTGATACCTGTTAGTAGAGTTTCTTGAATATATATTGCAATGCAGTTCCATAATTATGACTTGTATTTTCTTTCAAGTCTTGTAACTGTAACTTTGTGATACACTTATATTTTAATTGGTCTGAACACATGAGTGGGTATGTCCTCAACCATATTAGGTTTCATTTACTGCTTGAAATCTCAAGTGTGAACACTGTCAAAGCTCAGAATAGTGAAATAGGTATCCTTTTACAGTGGCAACGTAGTATTTCTTAACTGAAAATGATTGCCACTAAAGTCTCCCTTCTGTGATACAGAATGAGGGTAAGACCCGTCTAGAGGAGAAGTAAACTTTTGATTGTGAAAGGGAATTTTCCCTTAATTAAGAGTTCAGTTGTCTCCTAATATAAATACATGTAAAGGTCCCTTCAAATCTGTCAAATTTGTCACCAGAGGAGTACAAATCAAGAAAGAAGGATTACACAAGGGCAAGCGCAGTTTTGTAGGAAGCAGTTATGCTTGAACACAGTACTGTACAATTATATTACTGGAGCAGTTTTAAGCACAGATGAATATGCTCTTTTTTTGAAGATAACTAATTAAAGTCATAGCAGTCAAGTATATTAACTCTGGTAAGCTTTTCTGTTAAAATGGATTGACTATGTCATTCCAGGACTGACCACTGTAATCTGTATAGACAAAGAATTAACAGATACGTTTCTAAGACTTGTTCTTGAATATTACAAATATTCTTGGAAGCCTTTCAGAATATTTTAGTTTATGCAGGAATTAGCTAAGTATTTTTTAAGTGTAATTAATATAGCTTAGCTTCTACTAATGGAATTTTTGCTGAGAAGAATTGACAGGAAATTCAGAAATTAAGTTTCCTTCGGATAGCAGAGTATGGATTCACCACCCCATCTGTATGAAACTCCTTAGAATTTCTTTTATAAATCTCTATTAGTAACACGATCATATATGTCTTTTGACACTAAAACCATAAATGGGCACGTGTATATGAGACTGCTTCTTTAGAAGTTGTAGAGCTCTGATGTGGAATTCTAATCATACTGGTATCAATAATACCGATTTTTTTGCAATTGACTTCAATAGGTACGGGAAATTTCTGGTAAAGTCTATTTGTAATTCAAAATAGTAAGTATTTTCATGACAATTTGTGTAGGAGAAGCTTCTTTTATAAATTTCTCCTAATAATAATAGTAGGTGAATTATTTCTTTTGCATTAGCTTGAACTATTGATGTATTTCATAGTCTTCAACGTCTGTACACAATATGAGGGAGAGCTTTCTCTTTTCTAAAAATCTTTCTTTCCAAATAAATTTTGACACTTTCTTTAACCCTTCTTCCTCCAACAATTTTTTGCACTACTAAACAGTGTTGTTTATAAATATCTTTTGAGAAGCATTTTTGGTGTGGTTTGCTAGACTTGTGCAGAAATTATTGTTGTCCTGTTCTCCGTTATTTGTTTTGGTAATCTAAATTTTCAGTGGTATATTTCATGTTAATTCATGACATTCATCACTCTCATATCAGTTCCTTTAGCTAGTATTGAATTCTAGGTTTTTCTTACTCTCAGTACCTTTTTTTTTCCTTTTCATTTGTATTCATTTTTATAATTAATTGTGCCTTAAATGTTCTCTCATTTTCTGTTTTCTTAGGTGTTTGAAATTTTTCCCAATTTGATGACAATTGTTAATTCTTTCAATTTGCTATTTATTCCATCTTTTAAGACTGCCTAAAGGGCAGGCAGGTAACAGCACCTATAGTTTAGGTTACTTGACCTTTTCCTTTAGGAGGCTCTGTAGTTGCTTTAATTTTGCCAAATTTCAAA